CATTTAAAGTAAAAAAAAAAATCCTCATAATTTTGCCACATCACACAGCCCCAACCAAGGCTGTATGAGGCAAAATACATTTTAAAACAACAACAAAACTTTTTTCCATCAATCTATTTAATGTGTCCTTGCTGAAAGAAAAGTAAAAATTCCTTTTTTTTAAATAAATAAAAAAACTCTGATTAAATGAATGTGAAATATCTGAAATATGAAACATCTGCTGAAATGCACAAATGTTGTTTAAGTTGACATGGCTCTGAAGATATAACCACAACAGCTTTGTGTTTCTTTACCCTAACAAACACGATGACTCATTCTCATCCTCTGTGATTCATCCATGCTAGTTCATCCTCACAGAGCGTTTCTTCATGGCTGTCACATGAAAATAACAGAGCAGTTGTGCTCACTGTCAGGGTGACAGATTCAATGTCATACAGTCAACCTTAAATCACCATCACAACATTTCTGTTTCTTTCCTATGAGACCTTAGCTTTCACAACACCAGAAAACTGGGTGAGCGTTTAGTTTAAGTTAGGTAAAGTTAAGTTTTAGTTTGGTCGATGTTAGTTGGTGCGGTCTATCCCCCTTTTTCTGCATGTGACTACTGTGTTTTTCTTTATGGGTTGAACTTCTGGTTTGAAGAGCTACTGAGACCATTCTAAAATGATGTAATTAAATCCTAAGAAGGGAAACCCCTAACTAGAGTACCCTCTCTTTTGTTAAATGTGTTTATATTTCATTATAAAATTGTTATTTTATTAATATTAGAAAACACAAAAGAGTTCTGAGGTTTTCTATAATAGTCAAATTGGCCATATGCATTTTAGGGTCCACTACTTTTTCCATTTAGTGTGATTTTTCTTTTTTTTTTTTTGTAGAACATATTGTTATCTAACTAAAATTCTCTTTGTTTTTGGAAATAATTCACATTTAGAGTTTGGTTTAGGAATAGAGATTAGGTACAGATTACATTTTCAAAAAAAAAAATAACGTTCCAGGATCGCATTGTAATTGGCAAAATGACACCCACCACTTTTTCCCATGCAATCTGAATATGTGTGGCTCTGTAAGTTTTTGTTAACAAAAACATAACTTTGTCACAGCAAAAACATAACTTTTCTAAGACAAGCTTTTTAAACTTTCAAAAACAAAATTTTCTCTCACCTTCGGCAGGGCCATATTACGAACAAATTGGGCCCTGGGGCTATATCAAACCCAAGAGCCCTATTTATTTTATTTCCTCACAAAGTTATATTTATTTTAATATTATATACGGTGGCGCAGTGGGTAGCATGTTCGCCTCACAGCAAGAAGGTTGCTGGTTCGAGCCTCGGCTGGGTCAGTTGGCATTTCTGTGTGGAGTTTGCATGTTCTCCCCGTGTTCGTGTGGGTTTCCTCCAGGTGCTCCAGTTTCCCCCAGAGTCCAAAACATGTGGTACAGGTCAATAACTGGGTATCCTAAAATTGACTGTAGCGTATAATTGTGTGTGCGGATGTTTCCCAGTCATGAGTTGTGACTGGAAGGGCATCCGTTGCATAAAAACACATGCTGGATAAGTTGGCGTTTCATTCTGCTGTGGCGATCCCAGATTAATAAAGAGACTAAGCCAAAAAGAAAATGAATGAATGGATGGATAAATGAATAATTATTATCTATTTTTTTTACAATTTGATTTATATTTGATAATTATAATGTTTTCTATTTTACTAGGTGTACAAGCATTCAAAATTATTCACAAAACATTAACTTCACATTTTTACAGAAAACATCAGTAAAAAACAAACAAACATTTGCAATAGCCTGCTTCCTAAACGAGTGCTTTACAATAAATACTTTAAATAGGGTTATCTTTAAAACTTCACTTTAAACTTTAGCTGAGAATAAATCCCTTAAATATCTTTAAAATCCATGCTTCAAATTTCCCGTGTGGTCTTGAATCAGTCAATTATGGAAGGTTTGCATGTTTTTTTTTTTTTTTTTCCAGATATATTGTTTTTCCTCAGATATACTGTATTGTCTGTTGAAAGCCAACACCAATATTTCATTGATCTAGAATATTACTGTCGTTTTTATAAAAGGGGAAATTCATTAGTTTAAAAGTTAGCTTTCTAACTAGTTCAGTTAGACTTAAACAATGTATTTTCTAGAGATAGATACTCCGCATTTTGATAACTCGGTGTGCAGGCTATTTGATTTGGTCGGACACTATCCCAGTTATGGACAGGATTGTGCAGGTGTGCAACCGACACAGTGGTTAAGTTATGAGTTCATTCTGCATGATTCCTATCCCGGCTTCTCTTACCGCTTGTTAATAACGGAAACTGTATGAATTAATTTTTTTGTTCTACGATGCGCTTGGTTAACCTACCTTTGACTGGACTGTTCTGGTAGAGCCGAAATAAGGAATGTGCTGGGAAAAATGAACTTTTCCGGGGAAAAAACAGGGCATCACCCTTACTGGGGACTTAACAGGGCTATTTTATTTAAAACTAAGCTAAAGCAGCTCCGAGCCATAGTTTAGAGACGTCACCGTTTTTTAACAGCAGCAAGCGAAAGGAATACTTCACATTATCGAGTCGTTTTCCATGTCATGATGCAAATTAATTGTTTAGCCAATCAAGGGCTTCCTCCTTCCGTGGGCTTTGGGGCTTCAGCCCCGCCTAGCCCTTACATTAATCCGGCCCTGACCTTCAGTGGGGGTCAGATAGCTTGTACAGATTTAAAGCTATATTACTAAAAAAATCATATTTTTGAGTAAATAACTTTGCAACACATGATGACAAAATTGAATTGTCAAATCTTATTAAAAAAGTTGTAAATATGATAGAATTCTGGTAGTTCCACTGTTAAATAATAAGGTTTTGCTAAAAATAAGCCATATACATATTGTAAACTGAGTGAGGTGTACTATATATTCTATATTGATCCCTCTGGAAATGACTGTAAAGTTTGATATTTTAACATGACTTTAGTATCACAAGCATACAGTCAAACAAATGCGTTGTTATTTTCTTTTTGATACTGTTGACTAGTTTCATCATTTATGTGAGTATGGCAACTTAAAGTAGACCGTGAAACATTATATCCAAACATTCTTCAGAAAGTTGACTAAAAAGTATTAGGAACTGAAGAAGCTGCATCAGAAAAATACTGAAAATAAAGTTTTCATAAACCAAACTGACAGCATCAGGACACTATGTTCCACTATCGAGGCTCAGAGTGAACCAACAAAATATAGATAGTTGTGTAAATATTGTCAGAGTAACAGATGTCTGAATATTTTTGGTTGATTTTAATCCATTACATATTGAAGATTTCCTGACATTATCAAGAAGAATTTGTTTTGACACAGTTCAACCTAAGAGCTTAGATGACTAAAAGGTGATACTCAATAGAACGTTTCATAGCAGCAACAACAGCCCCGGATTCCGCCATTTTGGAGTGAAAGCGATCGGCTGTACATTAAATCTTATTGCTGTCGCGGTGGCAAGCAGCTGCTTTATTTTTTATTTATTTATTTAAAAAGCTCATTAAAGCTGAGATACAACTTGAAAGACGACAATACAACACTTACTATCTCAATCATCAGCACTTTTAATAGTTTATTTTACAGACTTACAATATGATGTTGTTCTATTAGAGTTTTTATTCCAAAATGGCCGCCACACCCTCTAGTGGCTGTTTCACAAATTGCACTTGAGTGTAACCTCTTGGTGAGTCTATGCTCTTTGGTTCAACTGTGAAGAACTGAGGTGCTGTATAGAGTGGTGCATTTAGTTTAGAATGAAAACAATCCTCATCCATACTGATGGTTTTACATGCCTTTCAGGAAAAAAAGGATCTCTGCCTACACAGCTACATCGAGATTTGTCTGACACTTACTTTTGCAAACTAGTCCTAGGTATTTCGTCTTATCTAAGCCAAACCATTTCAGAAATATTCTCAGGACACTGAATAATATCATTAGTTTTTGAAAGAAAAAAAAAAGTTGACAGTTTGATCCTCGCGTGAAACAGTACACAAAAGGTTTCATGCTAATTGTAAGCTAATTGCTTATTGTACAATGCTACAACTTTTGAATGTAATAAGATATCATCGCCAAACTTGTTACACTTATGTTCAAGGTCAATTTGAGGTCACAGTAAAAATATGCATGTGCATATTTTGCGACCATCCATTGCATGCTATCCGTTGTGTAAAGATGTTGGAATAGTGTGGAAGCCAGATATAACCATAATACAACTCGTGTTAAACTAAAACACACTAATGTAAATGGCACCAGAGTTCTTGTTATTTTGTTACAACTATAGTAAATAAACTTTAATAATGTGAGAAATGATAACGGTGTCTTAATATGTTCAGTCTTTTTTACTGTACCTGTTACCATATCTTTTTTGAATTAACCATGTTTTGTTTCTCAGAATCATTTTGTTTTGGTAACCCATCTGTACACAATGGTTAATTGGATTTACTTTTTTTTTTTTAAATTAAGAGGTTGCAAACAATTTATATGGTCCGAATTTAAACAAACAAATTATGTTGAACATTACAAAATTTTATCTGTTTGTTTAAATTCAGACCGATTAAATAGTTTGTGACTACTTATCTTAAAAATCTTAGTAAATCCAATGAATATTTTTTCAGTGTAATTTTGCTGCAGAAAGACTTGTTTTGAGTTTCAGACTTGTTGGTGGTTTTCTGAAAGTGCTTTGTTTATTCTGTTATATGCCACTTTTCAATATTCAATTGCAGAACTGTGAGGGAATTAACGCCACTTCATTATACCCAGTTTTATTTTTAAAACACTGATTGGTTTCCACTTTAATGGAGGTTAATCCTATAATACACTCAAAAAATTATAGGGCACAGGAAAAAGACAGACAGCCTCTCTCTCTCTCTCTCTCTCTCTCTCTACTGCTCAGACGTTAGCTAGTTGCTCCTGTCCTCAAAGGTGGCGTGTGTCAGCACAGGTTAAGTGTGTGTGGACAGAAGAGGTCACCTTTCTGCCGGACGGAGCACCAGATGGTGACGATGAGCACACATATGACAGTGAAGACCAGCAGGGCCAGGATGCCCCCAATCACTGCAAACGGGACGGCACTGTGGGTCTCCACCACTGCTCCAGGATCTAAGACACACAAAGAGAAAAAGAGAGATAGAGAGAGAGAGCTTTAGTTTTAGCATTTGAATAAAAAAACAAATCAAGCTGACTGGTGAAAACAGAGAAATGCATTCGTGCCGAATGAGAGAGACACATATTTGTGTTGTGCGTTTCACACACACACACTGCTAGTTTCAGTTCTGCTTTAAATAAATGAGTGTAGGCTTGACATTAATAATAAATGTTGTTTATAGAGAATGCCACTATAAGTTCTGGTTGTTTTATATTCATGTTTTTCCGTCATTTAACTGTTCTGAATTCTCTTGAATAGTTTTTTCTCATTTATTCTCTCTGCGGTGTTGTGAAATGACCATAAAATTGTTACGATCGGTTTGAGGCTGTTTAAATTTACATGTATGCATTTGGCAGACAGAGGCTTTTATCTAAATAAATGTACAATGCACACACACACAAACAGCAGAAATAAGTAAAGCTAAAGCAATAGGTAGAAAAGAAAGGTAAAACACTAGATAAGGTAATGGTTGTAAAATACAGTCAAATGTCATTGTTATGATCAAGCGGCTGCAGATTGCTGGTAAACATGCATATCGCAACGCACTACAAATCTGACATCACATGGACAACAAGTTCCAGTCATGCACTGCACACACGCATCTGTTCCAGATTCCGCTGATTGCACACACTCACAGCCAGAAGACTATTATGGACTGATTACAAGGACTACACAGCACACACACGTTTTTGACCCTTGCCTTATTTGTTTGTTTGTTTGCCTGTTGTAGGACCACAACTCTGGAATTACTAGTGGTGGGCAAAGCGAGGCTTCATGAAACATTGAAACAGTCGAAGCAAATGTGTCGAAGCTTCAAAACGTTTAGAAACCTGTCTACTGTCTACATTTTTATGTATTACACTGTAACAGCTTCAGCAAAGAAACAGTTGTAGTTCAAATCCAGGCTGATACAGCTATGGATGTTAGGTTTGAAATACTTTGTTCTTGTATTTTTTTGTTTTAACATTGGTCTGACATCCGAATGCCTTGGTGCAGTGTTTGGAAACACTTGTGCTTCAGGATCTCGACACTATGTTTTCACTCACCTATTTTTATGCTTATTTTGGATATGCACATAAAAAATAAATTGATGGAAATGGCATGATGCGCATACATTTTAAAAATGCACATAAAAAATGTAAGCGCATATAGCTTAGTAGTAGAATAAATGTTTTATTCGATAAGAAAGGATGCGTATAAACTGCAATGAAAACACTTTTACAGAATAAATTCCAGTATGCACATTAAAAAGTAATGTGATTTTGTTATAGAGATCATGTGATGATAAAAATGTGTGTAAATGGATGAACCAGCAGGCTGAGCACATTGTAAACCATCTGAAGTATTGTTTTGGCCATTCTTAAACGCCTTGTCATTTTAGCTTTAGTGTTATTATAGTAATAATGACCTCCAGATTCAAGACCGTCTGTGCTTTGCGTCTCATGCCTTTAAACGCCACCATGCATTCACTGCGTGTCAGGATTGCCTTCTGAGGCACAAGTCATTTATTAAATGAAAAAAAGATTCTTGCAGCTTATCCTACTGCAGCTAATTATGTTTTACAGTTGAAATTTGGCGCCAGTTAATCAGGAAGTTGTGATTTTGTTCGCTTTGACTCGTTGGATGGAAATGCTGCTTTTTTTGCACATCTTTTATGCGATAATCCAGATTTGCGCATAAAGTTTATTCGGATTTTTGGATGGAAACATAGATACTTTGTCGAATCTACAGCTTCATGTCAGCCTTCCCTACCGTATACATCTGTTTGCTCCTGTGTTGACTGTTGCTTGCCTTACCAATCTGTTTAATAAACCTGCGTTTCGCACTTCTTTTGTCAGCGTCCACTTCACATTAGAGTCATCATGTTTATTGTTGTAATATTCATATAAAATGCAGTATTTATGGCCAGCTAATTATCTCACTGACACCAGCCATTGCTTCAGACTCACATCCTTAGATATAGTTGTTTTGGAGGAAGTTGCAGGAAGGTATTTTTACTTCTAAATAAATATAACCAGCATGTGCTTCAAGAGCTCATCGTCTCCTAATCAGGAACCGAAATAGATTATTCGTGTGTGAGCTTCCTACTCGGAAATTGATATGAACAGCCTCTCAAGTCTTATTTACTACTGGAAAACTCAGAGATAATTTGTGAACTTTCTCACCTTGTCTTGTTGCTAAAGGTGTGAATATCTACATATGACAAACAATTTATAGCTTTTATGATTTCAAAAAAGGAGGAGTTTGAGATTCGTCCTTTCCTTTAATGTTTAATTAGTTGTTTGGGTAAAGGTTTTTGGTCATATTGTTGCATTTCTTTGTTATATTCTGTTATGTTTTTCTTTAATTGTGATATATTATTAGTATTGTTTTTTGTTTTTTGAACACTGTTTGATGAAGAGCCAATGTGGTCAAAACATTGCACATTTTGTGTTGGCTTTTAATTTAATAAATTGGTATTTTTGGATCTTCTGTGTTGCCGCCTTTTTGATTTAAAATCAGCATACATTTGATCAGTAATTCCAGAGTCATCAGCAAGCTGTTTATGTAATGTTTATAAGGTTGACTCAAAGGAATGTTTTATTTTATCCATAATAAGGGGTGGACTTAATGAATAAGCGAGGTAAGCAGCCGCTTAAGGCCCTGGGGAATTAGGGGCAAAGAAGCCTACATTAAATATATAGCTCTTTTATACATTTTCTATCATATGTTGTAAAATCTGTCTATAACCATTAAAGATTTTAACATTATTAAAAAAAAAGGGAAGGCCACTTTATTTTATTCTTTTATTTATTATATTCCTTTTTATGCTGTTGGAAACGCAGATGTGTGAAGATGTTTTGATGTTAATGTTCTGTATGCTATTTTTGGCATGTTATAAAAAATCAGTAGAGTCTATTTTAAAATGCAGTATTTAATGTGTCCGACACAAAATAGACATCAATTCATTTTTTTTTTATTACATGATAAGTCAATATTAATCTGACTGGTTAATGGTTAATATTTGGTTAGCCAGTGTCGGTTACAAAAAATTAACTGAACTGAGCATCCCTAAGGGCACCATACTTGGAACTGCTTAGGGCCCCCAAATCCCTGAGTTCGCCATTGTCCATAATTAAATATCTTTACCACCTATTAGCTTTAATAAGAATTCCACAAAAAACGAGGCACTTGGTTGACTACATACATTCTTTAAACAAAATAATTACATTTTTCTTTTTCAAATATTTCCAAAGTGTTGTTTAACAGAGATTTTTTTTCATCATATTTTTAACCATAACCTATTTCTAAAAACTAATTTATTGTGTATTTGACATTTCAGTAGTTATTTTGCAAGATATTAATATTCAGCTCAAAGGTGTTATTACTAATTGTTGTTACTAATTATCTAATTATGAGATTATAATATAATATAATTATTATAATTATGTTACTAATTATCTAATTAAGGCAAATTTTGCTACAAAGTGCAATTTAAGGGTTTAACTAGGTTATATAGGTCAACTAGGTTAATTAGGCAAGTCATTAACAACAACGGTTTCTTCTGTAAGGGGCTATTGATATTGACCATAGCAAAGCCTAAAAAAAAAAAAAAAAGACTTTCAGTAAAAAATAATAGCAAATACTAAGAAAAAATTCCCTTTGTGTCATGATCACCAGGCTAGCAGATTGCTGGTAAACATTCAACTCAAGCTCATTCTGAAAAGGTAGCCCCCCGGATGATTTTGGAAACCGCGATTTACATGGCCGGAGGTACCTATGGCTGCATTTAGTTTTTTCAAGCGAACATTTTCAAGGTGTGGTGTGACGGCGATCCTATTCGCGCTTACCGGCTCGCCTCCGTGTGGAGGGCTTTCCCGCCGCAACCAGTTTGTCCAGTTAGCTCGTCGTGTTATGTTGGCGGAGCAAAGGCCTGGAGGAAAAAGAGCTGGACTCGGCGATGACCGGGTTTGAGTTCGGTGAAGAGTGGTCACAGAAATAAGGTCAGGCAAAAAACAGGATTCAAAAATTAAAGCGAACAAGTTCGTAACAGGCAAGAATGCGGTGAAATCCGAAAACGGATTTTCTTCGAAAAAATCTTTTTCTGGACGGCTTTTGTAAATCGTCGCTCGGGTTTAGGAAAGAAGGAGGAGGAGGGTGGCTGGGTCAGCTGATTGGCTGGCTGCCTAGTCAATTGTTCAGTCATTCGGTCAGTCAGTCAATCAGTCGGACAGACGGTCGCTCGACAGCTGCCTCCGGCGGCTTTTTACACGTGAACAGCGTGGGCGCGAACGGATTAGCGAAAACAAAAACTGCACAAATACGTACCTCCCGGAATGTATTTCGCAGCCTTCAGAAACACCGCTGGGCTTAGTTTCCAGAATGAGCCTGGGTTGTAAACATTCACTATCACTCGGACAAAGATTCTGTCACCTTATGAACTGCAAATCCTGTTATGCACCTCACACACACCCGTTTCCAGATTACCAATGATTACACAAACAGCTGGAAGCTGATCAACAGTGTTGGGCAGTAGCGTCGCTACAAGTAGTGACACTACTAGCTTAACTACATTTCTTAGTAGCGTGGCGGTAGCGTCGCTACATTCGATGGTTGACTTGGATTTAAGTTGCTTTGATGTAAAAATTAAACTTACAAAAAAAACTTAAATGTAGCTAAGCTACTTTTGCCAAGTAGCTTTCACTTAGCTTGCTACATTTCCCAGGTGGTATCTTTTAGTTTCGTTAAGCTACCTTTTAAGTAACTAATAGCTTAATTCACTACATTTTTTTTAAGTAGCTTGCCCAACACTGATTGTACATACATTATACACTGCTTACATTCCTTACATAACAGTCTTGTTTTGCTGTAACATAATAAAGCGTTCTCTGTGCCTAGTATTTCTGTGTTTCTTGACCCTAGACTTGTTTCCTCATTTATGTTATTGCCGACTTTACCGACCTTATGGCCAGTG